TTTACTTTCCCACCACCCTGATTCCTATGCTTTCTCCCAGCCTCACAAGGACACCCAAGCCGCTAAGCCATTCTTTGTGTGAGTCCTACTGCACCTAGTGACTGCTGGGTTGGTTGTAGTGAAATCAAAATTTGCTCCATAAATCTCTAGAAATGAGGCACATAATCAGAGGAATCTAGGTTATTTGTTGCATTAGTTATATCTTTTCTCTTTTTTAAAGTCATGATTATAAACATATCCAATTTAGATCATATGCATTCAAGAATATTCAAGGCCAGATGTGATGGCTCACATCTGTAATCCTAATAACAGGGGAGGATGGTGGTTTGAGGCCAGCCCAGACAAAAAGTTCGCAAGACCCCATCTCAAACAATAAGCCAGGTGTAGTGGAATGCATCTGTGGTCCCAGCTGTGCAGAAAGCATAAATAGAAAGGCAAAGGTCCAGGACAGCCCAAGCATAAATGCAAGACCCTATTCAAAAGCTGTCTATGGAAAAAAGGGCTGGGAGTATGGCTCAAGTACAGTGTTGCGGGAATCTCAAGCTGAGATACAGGACACTGAGGCAGTTTAGCAGGAAGAAACGTTTTATTGTGCTGACACAGACCCAGCAGACTCATGTCCAAAGGCTGAGCCCTGAGAACAAAGGGGTCTCACCTTATATACCCTTGCAAGCAGGTTACAGATGCCAAAAGCAAAGCTCAACCCACATATGGCTGCATGTGACTTTATTGGCTATTTCATTTCCCCAGTGCTATGTGACCTTTATATTTCAGTTCTTTAAGCTTTGTCTCTCTGCTTTGCCATCCCTTCCCCCGTCTCATCTTTTTCTTTTCTGGCCCTCTTTCCTGCTACAACAGCATCTGCCTGGCAAGCTCAAGGCCCTGAGTTCAAACCCCAGAACCACCACCAAAACCAAAAAAGAAAAGAATATTCAAAATGTTTATTGCCCAGAAAATTAACCCTCTTATCAGAAAGAAAGGGAACTTAGGTTACTGAGCCCAATCTTGCCCACGATACAGTTTACCCACACCGCCTTCAGGCTCTGGTGAGTTCCTCTTACTCCTTTGGCTGTTTTTCAGATGGGGACCAGAGGAGGTTAGGATTAAATGGAGTCACAACCTGGTGGGTTCTAAATGCTCTTTAAAAAAAAAAATCAAAAGTGACAAGGCCCTAAGGCCAGGAGGTGATCAAGGTGGAAAATGGAAGGATCACATATTTTCCTCACACCCCCACCCCCCGCTTTTAGCCATCATCTTTATTTAAAGATCTTAGTCAGGAGGCAAAAGAGGAAATACGAATTGTGAAATGTGAACAGTTACCTCTCACAGAAGAACGGAAGAAATATTGTAGAATTAGTACCATTACTGTCAACCCCAAGGTTTCTGACTTGACAAAATTCCTGCACTAGTACTTAAAAATATTTTCCACCCAAAATAGCTTATCTCCAAAAAATTATTTCATAAAACAAGACATAAGAGAAAGTTGCTCTTTATTCCTGCCTTGGTATCTTAAAATGTATAAGAGAAAAAAGTGAGTAAAAGGAGATTCATTATTTTTGATTGTCATGAAAGAAATAGCAATAGCAAGGCTTTTAACAGGAGGGTAAAAGAAGGAAGTTAAGAAGGTGGATATGGGGAAGTGGTGGGGAAAGAGGGTAGGAGAGTGAATATAGTGCAAAAAAAATGTGCACACATGTATGTAAATGCAAAAATGATACCTGTTGAAACTGTTTCAGGAATCAGGGGAGGGAGGGATAAAAGAGAAAGGTGGGGGGGTGAATCCAAGTATGATGTTTGATACATTGTAAGAACTTTTTAAATGCCATAATGTACCCCCACCCAGCATAACAATAAAGGAAAAAGAGGAAAAAAGAGGTGAATATGGTTTATATACTTTCTACCCAAGAATGAGTATAAAATCTTTAAACTCGACAAAATCAGCATAAGAAGGGGACTAAGGTAGAAAAGAGAAAAATAGAGGGGATGAACCAATTCAGGTTATAATACATAGAACTGTCATAATGAAACTCCCTGTATAGCTATCTTAAACAAACAAAAATGTCTTTTTTCAAAAACGGAGAACAGGACGGTAAAACAGGTCCTGTCTGGGGTTGGTACCAATGGGAGGGGGAGAATGTAGGGAAAGGGTGTAGGAGGGTGAATATGGTGGAAATAGTATGTACTCATGAATGAAAATGGAAAAATAAGACTTGCTGAAATTGTTCCAGGAATGGAGGGAACTTTGGTAAATATCACAATGTATCCCCAGTACAACAATAATAAAATAAGATAAAACTTTAAGAAAAGGAAAAAAAGGCTCTAATGGTCTCATCAGAGAAAGACTTTCAGGATTCTTTGTATTAACTTGGCAACCAATCCAGGAACCAGCACATGTTTCCCATAAACCTAGGCGAGGACTCACTGTCTATTGAAGCATATATGGTGGTGATGTTAATAACCCTGTCATTTATATGGTACTTAACTATGTGCTAGGTTCCTCATATACATAGTTTTCAATTCACATATGAGGTAATAGAAAAAAAAAACAACATCTAAAGAAGTTGGGAACTTTAACACCTTAGTGGGAAATTCTGGGTTCAGGTTTAGTTCTGCAATTGACAAAGGGAATATTTCTAAATATTCCAAACAGTACTTTAAAATGCCAACTTAGAGGGCTGGAGGTGTCCATACACATATAATGTACTTTCATAAAATTCATCACTTTATTACTCTATCTTCCCTACTCTCTTTTAAAAACAATTTTAATGGATTTCATTATTATTTTTGCACACATGCACATGGAATATTTCAATCATATTCACTCCCCCTTCAACCTCTCCTTTCACCCTCCCACTGTTTCCCACCACCAAATTTCCCTTGTTTTACACTTGTGTCATTATTAAATTTTTGGTCTACATTCTGCATATGAGAGAGAACATGCAATATTTGTGTTTCTCAATCTGGCTTATTAAATTAGAGAATCTTAATGTATTACAACAGAGAATCTACAATTGATCCAAGAGAAAAATACAAAAAAAATGGAAGATGTAAATTGTAGACATAAGAATTACAGGTGATATAAATATCAAGCAGGTACATTTTCTAGATTGGCATTTATAGGACATAATCTAAGAGAATTACTCTCACTAATTAGAAACAATTTATTAATTTCAATTCATGTGTTTACAGCCCCAAATCTATCATAGCTGTTTCCTAATGAAATGGCCTCATTTATTGCTTATGCACACTTCTGTATTTTTCATAATTTGGGGATATTAAAATATAAGCATACAAGCTTTATAATAGCAACTTTATTGCAAGATGTTTTAAACTGTGTTTAAAAGAAAAAAACCCAAACCACACCTTGCAAAAAATGTCTCCATTCATTTTCTTTTCTCAAGATACTAAATTAAGGCTAGGCACCGGTCACTCATGCCTGTAATCCTAGCTACTCAGGAGGCAGAGATCAAGAGGATCATGGTTTGAAGCCAGCCCAGGCAAATAGTTTGAGACAATTTACTTTGAAATTCCCCATCAGAAAAGGGCTGGTTGAGCGGCTTAAGTGGTAGAGTGCCTGCTTAGCAAGCATGAGGCTCTGAGTTCAAACCCCAGTGCCACCAAAGAAGAAAAAAAAAAAGATACTTAAGTGATCCGGGACGAATCAGTCAAATTAATTATTATTGTTTCCTAGTGCCAGGAATCTGTGTGTCTTCTCCAAAGGATCTTCCCAAGTACAACTAGCAAGAGAGAGCATGCTAAGGGCACATTTATCCTCCAGCACCAACTCTCACCACCACAAATATGTTCCAAACACTAAATTAGATTAAATTTGCCTTAGGAAAATCCTGAGCTTTGTCCATTGAACAAAGCTCAGTGCCATGAGCCAGAAAGCCTGGAGTTAGAGAGTGTTTCTGGCCACAGCTCTGTCAGAGCCATGTGACCTGGGCTCTCAGTCTCCTCTCTGGTTAGACCAGCTGATCAAGGTCTTTTCCAGTCTGAAGTAAAAATAAAGTCAGGCAGCAATTCTGTTTAGCCCCCTTAGAAGTAGAGTCCATTCGACAAACATGTGAAACAAACAACCTAAAAAGTCACATTGGATGTTCACTCATGTAAAAAACGAGGCCTGGGAAAGACTGTACTAAACTCAGTGCACTTGTAAAATGCTGAGCTTTCTTGGCTTCTCATGAGCGTACGTGGGAATGTAGGCGTTGCCCACAGGATGCCAAAAAGCCCTACGTGTGAATTCTCCACGCTGAGGGGTTTCACAACAGCTCAGACATGCCCGGCATCAGAAGAAAGACTGACAGCATTAACAGAATTCGGTATTCCCGATGCTTCGCCAGTGAGACTAAGCATGTTTGCGTACACTTGCGTGCCTGTTTCTCTTTAAAGTGGTGCATCTACCACATTGGTGGCCTGTAATACAAATTTACTAAGAGTTGTGGGTGAAGAGATTGCAGCCCAATTTAAAAAAAGGAAAGAAGGTTTTCCTTAGCCCAGGAAATAAGCCATAATTCCTCTATCATTATATCACCTCATCTTTAACCACTTTCTTTTATTCCCCGCTAAGAAACCTGAGGGGTGGGGGGGGAATTTAAATAGCAAATGGACAGTCTCTCAAGTAAACCCTGTAGTAGAAGAGTTTGAGACTTTTGATAAAACACATATGTGTGGCTCTTGAAAAGAATGTTCTAAATTGTGAGTGGGGGAGTCTGGACCCCCACTTTCCAGACTTTGACACAGTCTGGAATTCTTAGACCCACAAAATCAAAGAATGCCCAAAACTGCACTGGATTAATTCACGTTTAAGAAACAGAAGGCAGTGGAACATATGCTAATTCTCCCAACCTCATTCTATGGGCTTCCTGCAATGTTCTCCCATGTCAACCCAATACATCCAGCCTGACCCATTCCTAAAAGGGACGGGTAGTACGAAGGAGAACACCGATCCTCTGACAGCTGCATGCAGTTACACCCTTGTAAATGGCTCTGCCACTTACCCTCTTCACAAGGTAGCCCTCCCTGATCCGCTTTGGTTCCATGCTGGATGGACAGGTGGATAGATATGTCCACTCTCAGGCACGTCCTCTCAGAAGCTCAACCTCCTCTGAGAACCTAGGCCGTTGTGGGCTTCCCTTTTTACACTGAGGTCTCTTTCACAATTTCCCTTCTGCTGGTGACCTCATGATCACATCCTCTTCCCCTCACTGGGGTGGAGGATTAGAATAAGGAACTGTAGTGCCAAATAACCCATGTTTTGCTAATACTGGAAACATTAAAATATGGTTGGGTTGAATATTTACCTAAGATAAAATTTTGTTACCATAAATAAAGCCCTTCTAAAGAGAAAAAAATGATTTGAAATTGTCCGTCTTAGGAATTATCCTTGAGATCCTGAAAATGCTTAATAAAAAATGTCCCCAAAATTCATCTGGTTAGCATAGTAAAGGTGCCTGGTGCTAGATGAATGCCTACTTCCATCCAGCACTGTACAAGTTCATCAACCTAATTTAACTTAGTCCTCCCGAGAACCCCTTAGGGGAAACATATCATTGTCCCCATATTAGGGATAAGGAAACCCAAGCTCAGAGAAGAGCAGTTGTATCAAGGTAACATAGCAGGTAAGAGGTAAAACCAGAAGAGTAGAGGGGAACACCAGGGTGCCTCTGCTTCCCACCAGTCATGAGAACAGTACCCCACATTGGACACTAATTCCACAGTTGTCTGGGAAAAAAAAGTCTGTAATCGAACATGCTTGAGAAACTGCTCATTATAATTCCAGCTTAGAGACTTTCCTTGAAGATTAATACACACACACACACACACACACACACCAGGTACTATAAAAAAGACTCCTCTAAACCAAACATTTTTGACCATAGAATCTTTTTTGAATAGTTCCTATTAACATTTTTGGTATGGATTAATTATGTCTCCCAAAAAAGATATCTTAGGCTCACCCAGTTCCTCAGAATGCAGCAATGCAACATGATTGGGACTAGGGTATTATAGATGCAAGTATTAAAGTGAAATGAGGTCATATTGGAGCAAATGGACCCTAAAAGAAAAAGAGACACACACACGGAAAAAGCAGCCATGTGATGAAAGAAGCAACACGGTAGCTGATGAGTTACAAGCCAAGGAATGCTACGGGTGCCCACAACCACCAGAAGCTGGAGGGGCCAACAAGGATTCTCTTTTGGAGCCATTACAGAGAGCATGCCCCTGCTAACATACAGCCTCCAGAACTGTGAGACAAGAAATTTGTGTTGTTCTAAGCCATCCACTTTGTGACACTTGGTTATGGCATCCCTGGTAAATGAAAGCAATTTTGAAAAGCTATTAATACTCTATAGAAGAAATTTTGAGAACTGCTACTCTGGACATGTGAAAATGGGAACATTATTTCATCATTTTGTGCCTCAGTTTTCTGGCCTATAAAATAGGTTCAATAACACCTACCCAGTGGGGTCATTCTGAAGAGTAAAAACAATATGTGTTAGTGTCTACAGCATTGTCTGAGCATAGTAAGTGTTTCTAGATGTTAGTTATTCCTCACCTTCAAGGCAAGTCTCCATTACCCTAGGACAGACCCTTCTTAATGAGAAGTTTAACAGGGATAATAGAGGTGGTCAGAAGACTACATTACTGATTACTTCCCTTTCTTCGTTATACCAGTTAGTGTCTTTTGGCTACAACCAACAGAAAACAACGTTGGCTAGTAAAGGCAAATAGGAATTTCCTGGAAGAGAATAGAATGGCTCACAGACTTGAAAGAAAAATGAAGATGGACAGGAACAGAGCAGCTATGGGATCACAGGAAGGAAGATCCCGCCATCTCTCTGAGATACCAAGATGAAGGTATAGGGGAAGTTTTCAGGCTCTGCAGCAGTGTCCAGCCCTTGGGCCTCTGAGTGGTATTGGCTTCACTCTGCTTCCCTCTCAGGTATCTGAAGGGCAGCATGTGAACTGACAGCTTCGATGAGGGAAGGGTTGTTGCTACAGTAAAATCAAGGTGCTATTAAGTGACAGAAGCAGTAGAAAAGTGAAATATCTCTAGGCAGGCAAAACCAACAGATGTTCATGAAGGCCTCTGAGGAGCCGGAGAAGTCAGGGGAAGAAAGAAATTCTGTTCTTGTTTCTCTGAGAGCTTCCTGATTCACTCTCATCCTTCCTTCATTTTAGTTATGTTTCTAACCAGCAGTTACTGTCCCTCTATTTTTCAACTTTATTTTATACTAATATATAGATCACATAAAATTACAGATGTTTTCTCATTGTACTAAAATTAATTAGAAATTGTCAGAAAGGATTGGGGAAGAAGTGGGGGAATCAGCATTTGATGGTATCTGAGCAAAAGAGAAACAAGGAAAGGGATGATTTGTTGTGTCTACATTCAAATAAGTATATCTGCTATGTCTGGATGGGCAATGGGAACCACCATTCATAAGCCGTCCAAGTCTTCTTTCATGGTTAAATTTAATAATTTTTGTTTAATTGACCAACTGAATTCTAATTTGCAGCGTTTCCCCTTTAGTCTTAGCTTGATCAGAAGAACCTCTGACAGAAATGCTATGTGTTCTTTCTTTGCTTGTATTTGACACCCACAGTGTGAAAGTGCTCCCCCCACTGCGTTTGGAATAATTCATTTTGAGTGCTCATATGCACCAGGCCCTGCAACAGGTACAGGAGTAAAAATGTCTTGCCACAAAGGGACTTCCCAAACGTGTGACTCAAATGAACAGTTGATGGATTTGGTCTTGCCACTCCTGGCCCTGCCCCTCCTGCCACAGGCATCATGCTTGTTTAGCAACACCTAGTGGTCAGTACGGGGAACTACCTGAATCAGTGTCTTTAAGGACTTCTGTTCACAACAGTTAGAGCAAATGCTCTTTGGTGTCAGATCATGTTCCCAGATCAGATCATCAGAACCTCTTCCAGTAGCTTTCATATGTATGTGTAGTGCATCCAGGCCGACTTTTTCAGGTCTTTTTCTGTCCTCCTTTCGCTTCCCCCACATTTAGTCAATAACCTTGGAACGTTCTTATACTATGTTTTATTGGCGCAAGAAAATTAAGGTTTGGGAATAAAGGAAAAAGATTGCTATGCATCTCCACAGTCAAATTATGTATTAGTTGCAGCAAATACAAAATAATACAATAACAGATATCTCTAGATATCTGTTTCCATGCCGTGTGTGCCTTTCCTTATCTTGAAATCATTTTACTACTCTAACTTGTGAATAAATGACAGCAATGCAAACAGTTCTTCTAAGAATGGAACCTCCATTCAACAGACTCAACCTCACTCCCCTCCCACACTCCACCTCCCATGCAAAAAGTCACTGTTAGGTCTATTTATGAACAGATTTCCACATTCCTTTATCCCATATAAATTTGTCTTTGATCTCTTCTTTAAACAAATCGTGACATCTGGCTGGTTCACTCTTCCACTCTGAGTTAAATAAAACTTAGATACATTTTTATTTATTATTTATTTATTTATTTATTTGAGGAGCCACACCCCCAATCTTTTTTGCTTTCATTATTTTTCAGATAGGATCTCTAATTTTTGCCCAGGCCAGCCTTGGACTGTGAGCCTCCTATTTCTGCCTTTCTTATAGCTGGGATCACGGGTATGTGCCACCACACTTGGCTTGTTCTTTGATATAGGGTCTTGCTCACTTTTTTTGCCCAGCCTGGTCTTGAAGCAAGATCCTTCCTTCTCCACTGATTAGTAATACGTTAAGCATATTTCTATGTGCATATTAACTATCTCAGCTTAAGCAAGATGCATCTATTCAGCTCTCATAGAATGGACTGAGCTATACAACTCTCAGGTGTCAAGGGTCCAGACTCCTTCCATCTAGTTCTTCCACCATGCCATGAGCTTTCCACCTGGAGGCTACAGTGCCTGCTCCTGCTCCCACTGTTAGGTGAATTTTCTTGAAGACATCCATAATATAGACTCTGAAGTCTCCTTTCACAGAGATGGTGTATTCTAGCACCACTCTCCCCCACTCACACCGTTTGTTTTCAAAAGCAAAAGTGGGTAGGAGACAGGATGTGGTCCAGAGCAAGGAGAGGGAGGCACGATGAGATACAAGCATCCTAGACTCAACTGTCCCATTAGAGACTGACCAGGGCAGTAATACCATGTCACACTGTGATGCACATGCAAGCTTAGGACGGAGGAAAGGCGTCTTCTAAATAATCTCAGTCAGAAAAGTGGGCAGGTCTTCAAAGGAGGTTGGATAGCCTAGACACAAAGCCCCATGACTCCAGCAATTCCTAACCAGGGCTTCCCAAGCCCACTCAGCTCAGTTAATCCAAGGTAGGAGAAAGATGCCTGGGACTTGTAACATGGAAAAGCATATGGGCTTTGAACTCAGTCTTGCATTCAAATTCCAATTCTACTCTTACCTTGGTGGAGTCATTCATCTTCTTTAAATTAATTATCATATTTATCTGCTTAGTAGTAGAATTTAATATATTTTCATTTGGAAATCTGAGTCAAGGGCTGGTATAGTTTTCAGACTCTCAGCGCTCTAAGGTTGCTACTCCAACTCTTGTCATTGTAACACGAAAGCCGCTGTGCTAGCCAACTTTCAGTTGCTAACACAAATACTGTAGATCATCAACTTACAAAGGGAAAAGATTTCTTTTGGCTCATAGTTTTGAAGGTTCCAGTCCACGGTTGGTTAGCCAATTTGCCTTGGGCCTGTGGCAAGGAGTAGATGGCAGGAGTGTATGGCGCTCCCACAGCCAGGGATCAAAAACAGAGAGTGAGGAAGAAGCCAACAGGGTCCCATTGTCCCTTCAAGGGCATGCCCCCAATGACCTGAAGACTTCCTACTCAGCTACACCTCTTAAAGTTCCATGATTTCCTAGTCATGATACATTGGGACCAAGCTTTCAATACAGGGGCCTTTGGGGGACATTTAAGATTCAAACTATAATAGTCACCACAGACAATATATAAATGAATAAATGTGACTGTATTTCTGTAAAATATTACTTATGAACACTGTGATTGAGTTCTATATAACTTTTGTGAGTCTCAAAATATTCCTTTTTAAATATTAAGAATGTAAAAGATATTCTTAGCTTACAGAACATAGAATCCCTAATCTAACGGATGGAGCTCCTGTTTTTTTGAAGATTATATAAAGGATGTTGAATGATCCTTTATTCTCAGTTGTAGATG